CCTTGACTTTTTCCACAAAACATTTCCTTGATTACTGATCGCCACTTACCAACAAATGACAACAGGAGAAAAGAGTTTAAGAAAAGTGTCTGCAAGTCCAGTCACCTGTTTTTAATTATATCTGCCCGTTACTGTAACGTTGTCTATGAATTGAGAAAGATAATAGTGATCAGAGAGCTGAAGGAAGCCTGTGAGCCCTGGACCAGCTTAGCTCTTCCTCCTGGGGGGCAGAGGGCTGGAGACCACAGCTGTGGGAGGCCTGCCTAGGGGAGGCTGGGGAGAGCTGGGGCTGGGCCCTAGGAGTGTCCTGGAAGTGGGTGAGGTTGCTCTGAGGTTGAAAGCCACAGCAGGCCCACCTTCCTGGTGCTTAGGAGATGCAAATGATAGGGACAATAGGGCCCCTGTCCCTAGGCCATTTGTGGCAGATCCTGGGCTCCAGGGAAGCATAGGTCCTCTGCCTCTGCCATGGTGGGTGAGATTTGTCCTGGGGCAGCTCCAGGCTCACAAACCTGTGCACCCTGGGGAGGGGGCTATGGCCAAGACTCTGGGCAGGGAGACAGCTGCCCTGACCACCCCCTTACTCCCCTCGCTGGCTCTTTCCAGGACAAGCTCAGTGGGAACAAGGCTCAGTGAGTACTGGGGCTCCTCTTTCTCCTTCTGCACTTTTGTCTCCACGTCTCCCCTCCTCCTTTCCTGGGCACCGCCATCCGAGGATCTGTGCTGGCTCTGCCTGTGCCCTCCCTGCCTGCTGAGACCATTCATGTGCCTCCATCCCCTGTTGGCACTAGGGCTCCCCATCTCCCGGCTTCCCTGGGGCACCAGCTCATGCAGCTATGCCCTGCAGGCACTAACTCTGTCCCCAGCTGCCTCCTCCTGCTGCCCTGGTCCCAGGGCCTCTGTCATTCACACTATCATGGACCAGATGTGAATGTCTAGCACAGCATCTGGCTGACACAAACTCAAGGGCCCCTTGGGCAGAGTTGACTAGAGTCTGTCTGCAGGTTGGGGCCACCCCTCCCACCCCCCAGATGTGTGGGTAAGTGACACAGTGGGCCAGAGGAGGCCAGCAGACTGGGTTCCCCTGCAAGTTGAGTCTCCTGTGAATGGCTCTGGACACCTCCTGCCCACCATAGTCCAGCACTGCTATGTTGCTGGGGCCTAGCTCTCCCACCTGTCTTGGTTAGAATCAGGGGTGCAGGGTGGGGGACTGGCAGAAGTGGAACAGGCAGCTAGCCAGGAGGCCCCCTTGTTTCCAAAACGCCTACCTCATTGGCCCTGCTGCAGAGTTGGAAATGCCCATCATGAATGGATCCTTTCAGTTGAAGTATCAGCACCCGCTGTCAAGTGCAGATGGTTTATTACCCTGGGGAAAGAGCAAGGCACTGTGCTAGAGGCGGGTGGGCTGGGAGGAGGTGAGACCAGGCTGTCTGTCCAGACCCCCCAGCTTGCAGAGAAGACGCCCCCAGCCCATCTCCTTTGCCTGCTCCAGGGACCTGGAGACACAGGGTAAGTCGAGCTGCTGAGGCTGGGGGTCAGGGGAGGCAGCCACCCGGCCTGTGTTTGGACATATTCCACCCTCCATGCCCCCCCTCCCCGTGCCCCCCATGCCAGCACCCTTTCTTGAAGGCCCAGGAGGAGGAAGAGGAAGATGAGGAGGAGGAGGAGGAGGATAAATATGAGCTGCCGCCCTGTGAGGCTCTGCCCCTCACTCTGGCTCCTGCCCACCTTCCTGGCACAGGGGAGGACTCTTTGTACATGGGTGAGGTCTGGGAAGGGGGAGGCAGGGAGGCTGGGTGCTTGGGCAGGACAGGAGTGGCCCCACAGGACAAGAGAGCACAGGCCCTGCCTCTCCTCCCTCTGCCTGTGCTGGGGCAGCGAGGGAGGCCTCAGCTGGCAGTCACGGGGCCTCTGGGCTGGGCAGAGAGAGAGAGAGAGGGATGGAGGAAAGAAGGGAGGGTGGGAGGAGGAAGAGTGGGACCGGGGAGAGGAGGGGTGGTGTAACCAAGGCAACAGTGGGACAACAGGAAGCCCAAGAGTCCCAAGGGCCTGGTGTTCCCCCTCCAAGATCCCAGTACTTCCTCAGGCCAAGGGCGGGAGTCCTGGGAGAGCCTGGCTGCCTGGGCATTCCACCCCCACGGCCCCTCAGCCAGGTGGGGGCAGGGAAGCTGGCTGCCTCCAGTTGCCATAGAGACAGGGCTGTCAGGAAGCCAGTGAGTGTTTGGGAGTGAGGGAGGGAGGAGGAAGTGAGGCTAGATGGGGGCAGGAGGACAATGGGAACCTACATGGGAGGAGAACCCACCAACTCACAACTCTTGGGGTCTTTTCCAGATCGTTCTGGCCCCCCAAGCTCATCCAAGCCATCGCCACCCCTGCCTCAGCCCACCACGGCCAGAGGCCTCCGCACAAGTTCCTCCTTCCCCGCCTGCCCCACCCCAGGCTGCCATTTCCCGGTGAGTGACTCTCAGAGGCATCTCATTTGCAAGATCCCCCTACATTTGCATTCGAGAGGCCCCTAAACAATCAAACCCTCAGAAGCCAGAGCCCTGTTACTGTCAGTGGCTCCGCCAACTTGCCTGGCCGGGTCTTTCCAGCCTTCCCACTTCAGCTGCCGGTGACGGGTTCAGGGGATAGGCATGAATGACCCTGCCGTGGACGCGGGGCCTGAGGACCCCTCCCTGCATAGAGAGTGAAGAAGTCCCTTGCTCAGCTGCAGTCCCTTCCAGCTCCCATGCCCACCTTGATCCTGGGTACGGACTTTGAAAGCTACCACTTTCATCATATATTTCATTGGAATTAAAAAAAGAAAAACAGAGAGAGATTCACAACAAAGAAAGAGCCACAAAGTAGAGGCAAAGAGGAGTCCTCCCTTTTGTACATTTCCTCTTGTGTTGTCACATTGGTGTTTTTAAGCTGCACAAATATACATGGTCCTGCCCCACCCCACCCCACCATCCTTGCCCTCCAGATGCCTCAGTTCCCCCACCCTTCCTCACTGGCCCCATTGTGCCCACAGCTGAAGGCAGCAGCGAGCCTGCATGTGGCCGAGAAGCAGGGACCTCTCTTTGGGAGTTGAGGTGATGGGGAGGTAATGGGGATGTCCTCTCTCCGTGGCTCCACCCTGGGAAGGGGCATCCTCCCCCACGGGGATGGAGTTGTGCTTGCCTGACACTAGGCCCCTACTCTGCCCTTCATCCCAGCTGGGTGTCCTTTTTACTTGCTAGTCCTCTGAGATGGCAGTCCAGGTGGCATTGCCTCCCACGAAACAAATGAAGAGACTGAGGCCCACAGACATGAAATGCTGTGCCTGAGATCACACAGCAGAGTCCCAGACACCCGGGTCCTGTTCTGCACCTGGCGTAATTGCTGGGTCAGGCGAGGGACACCCCCAGAATGAAGAGGTCAAAAGGCAGCGTACTCTGCCCGAGGACCCTCACTATGGAGGCACATCTGTGCGCCATTCCCCATCAAAGGGGGTCCCCCTGGGCCACCAGTCTCTGATACCACTCATGTCATTATTGGCCACCACTGTCCAGAGACTTGTCCCTATGGTCAGTGCCCTGAAGCCTGTAACCCCAGAACCCCGGATGTCAGGACAAAGAGGGACCTCAGCCAACATGTTTTTGTCCAAAAGAGGCCCTAGGAGGGGAGAGGTAGCCTCCTCCTGCCCAAAATCTCACAGCTGGCCTGAGGCACATTCATTTTCACTATACTCAGTGGTTAGTAAACCTTCATGACCTTGAGGGTGGCTTCGATTTTTGGAACAGCCCTAAGACATTTGGAGCCAAGCCTGGCAAATCAGCTGCGAGGTCAGGACAGGCAACACCAAGGGCTGTGAAGAAAATGATCAGGGATGAGGGTGGCTTTCTCCTGGGCTTCAGAGCTGGCTCTGAGGATCTCCTCCTCAGAGAAGTTCCAAGGACACTCTATCTCCCAGCCTAAGTTTCACTGAATTCCTTTATGCTCCTTGCTGCCATGACGGGTGGTTCTCTCCTTTTCCTTCCAGAGTGGGGCGCACGGTCCAGAGTGGTGAGCGGCCCCTCCATCTTCACCTCACGTTCTAGGGTTCTACGTAGGAAGTTGGCAGGGATGGGTGGGGCGGGGGGCCTGGGAAGGCCAGGAAATATCCCTGAAACCAAGGGAAAGGGCCCAGGGCAGAGCCCCTCCCCCTCTGCCCCAGGCCCCTGGTGGGTGTAAGCCAGCTGTCCTGAAGGTGCCGCCCAGGGCTCCAACTCCAATCCACATTCTCTGAGAGCTGGGGCCTGTGGGCGCCTCTGAAGGGGACATGCTCACGGGATGCCCCCTCCCAGGCACAGGAGAAATTGTAATCATTCCAGCTGGCTCCCAGAAAGGGCTGCCTTATGAGAAGGGAGTGAGGTACCCAGAGGTGTCCCCCCAAATCTGTGGCTCCTCCCCCAGGACTCCCTCACTGCTTGGGGCAGAGGCCCCCTAGTCCTAAACTGAACCCAAAGGCTGGTCAAATCCATGGTCCCACACGCCCTTCCCTATCTTAGGTACCATGCCCTCCAAAGAAACCTGACGAGGACATCTACCTGGAGTGTGAGCCCCATCCAGGTGAGCACCTCCCTTGGCCCCAGACCCATCCTGCCCCTGAGGCCCTCAGCTGCCTGCAGAAATGACACACTCTCCTGGCTCCATCTTCTTTCCTTGTCTCCTCTCACCACCCTCACCGACACACATTTGCCTTCAGACACCCACACTCCTGCCCTAGGTCCAGCTGACCACACTGCGCCTACATGGGAGGTGACCACCCGAGAGCAAAGGCTGGGTGGGGCTTCCCGGCTGCTGCGGCCAGGACAGCATCTCCCTCTGGTTGGAAGGGCTCCCAGAAAGCCCAGGCTGCAGAGAAGCGGCAGCCCTGCAGCTGTTCTTAGCCCCTCCCTGGCCAGCACGGACTTCCCCGCCTGGTGCCCAGCCAAACCTAGCCTGCCCTCTCTGTTTCAGTCCTGGCCTTGACCCAGACTCTGAGCTCCCAAGTCCCGATGCCTCCAGTCCTTCTGCCAAGGACGTCAGTGGTGCCCAGGTGAGTGCCCCACCAGACGTGCACACACGTGTGTGTGTGTATATGTGTGTATGTGTGTATGTGAGAGAGAGAGAGAGGGAGAGAGGGTGGGAGGGACAGAGAGAGAAAGAGAGAGAGAAAGAGAGAGAGAGGGAGAGGGAGGGAGAGAAAGGGACAGAGCAAGTCCCAACTAAGGCTTCCCGAGTCCTGACCCTGGGATGGGCTCTCCTTGCACTGTCCCAGGGTTGCTGGCAGTGGTGGCAGAGGCAGCTTGGGATGCTGGGTCCACTGGGCTCTTTCTCTGGAAGGAGATAAAGACCCTGAGCTCTGTCCCCCAATTTGCTCCCTACAGGCCCACCATAGCCCCCCAGGAAGTTCAAAATGTAAGAGGCTGGTGGCCAGGGGGAAAGGGAGGGAGGGAAGGAGGCAGGGCAGGGGGCTCAGGGTGGGACTTCAGGCCCAGGTAGCAGGCCTGCAGGGCCCAGCCTTTTCTGACCAGACCTCCTGTGTCCCAGGGAGCAGCAGACGCCACCTCTAAAGGTGAGTGCAAGCATCTTTAGTATGAATGCGGGCAGTCCTGCCTGGGCCTGCCCCAGCCCCAGCCCTGTGGGCCCCAGACTCCATCTCTGTCTCTCAGGCCCCATTTTGCTGAGGGGGTCCCTGCAGCTCTGACTCCACCTGAGATCAGGCCTGAGGGATCCTCTTGGGCATTTTCCGGGGTCTGAGCCAAATCAGGAGGTTCCCAGTCTGTGCCCCAAGAGCACTCCTCATTTGGAGGTCACACCAGGGCACTGGACCTGGAGAGTGGGGGAGCACTGAGCACTCTTGGTTTGGGCTTCGGGCCTGTGTACACCCCTCCATCCCCCCTGCAGCTTCCCTCCAAAAGCCTCCTTTGCCAACCCCCACCTGCCTTGCCCAGCTCTGTGACCTGCTTCTTCTGTAATAGCAGGAAAGAGATCATCTCCTCCCTCTGCAGCCCCCTCTGGGAGCACCTCAGCTGCTGAGGTGAGGAGGGGCTGGGCACGGGCTGGGTGGGAGGCCTGAGGAGGGCAGAGCCTGAGCGTCCTCACCAAGAAGCCCTCTTGGGCTGCGGTGTGCACCACCACGCGGGACACATATGGGACACACATGCGTGGCACCATGCTGTGCACCTGGCATGGATGCCTCTTTGTTTTGCTTTCGGGACTCAGTCAAGGGAAGGCAGACACGAACACAGATAACTGCACCCTGGGGTTCTCGGCTCCCCAGGCCTGATCCAGCGCCCTGGCACATCTCTGAGTGGCTGTGTGTGTGTGTGTGTGTGTGTGTGTGTGTGTGTATAGGACAGCAGCCTGCAGGCTCAACCTTGGTACTCAGGGAACTGTGACCGTCACGCTGTCGAGAGCGCCCTGCTCCGCTTACAAAAGGTGGGCAGCCACAGACCCCTGGGCCTTCTCTGAAACCCCTTCTGCTCATCAGCTGTAGCTGGCTGAGCTATGAGGAATAGGAGGCCAGCGGTTGTGACCCACTTGGGAGATGGGGTTGACATCTGGGGTCTCCTTCACAGGATGGGGCCTACACCGTGCACCCCAGTTCAGGGCCTCACGGCTCCCAGGCCTTTACCCTGGCAGTGCTCCTCTGAGGCCGGGTCTTCAACGTTTCCATCCGGTGGCTGGATGACAGGCGCCACTATGCCCTGGGCCGGGAGGGCAGGAACCACGAGGAGGTGGGTGCTGGAGGAGGCAGGGCCTATCGTGCAAGGAGGCTGCAGCAGAGCAATACCCTGGGCCCAGCCAAGAGCATTTGCCTGGAGAAGGACCCATGTTTTGTGTCTTTCTGGGGTGCAAAAATGACAGCGGCCAGAGCCCTGAACTCCTTCCCAGGCCCCTGGCACTTTGGGAAGAGGCCCACCCTGCTCTGGGGGAGGTGCCTCCTGCCATTGCTCAGTCTGCACAGGGTCAAGGTGAGGGCATTTGTACCTATCATGAACCCAGCTGGGAGCAGGGCAAGGTCCAGGCAGTCCAGCCTCCTGTCTACCTGCCCCAAGGACTCAACCTTGCACTAGCATTGCTGGGCTACAAACTGAGTCATCCACCACTGAGCTTCCCAGCCTGGAGGACCAGGGCAGAGGCGTGACCCTAAAGTTATTTTAATCTAGCCTTGAAATATGAACCTAGCCAACAGTGTGCCCATGGGAGCAGTAGCAGGAAAGTTGCTTGGAATCAGGCAATAAAATGGCAGTGGAGCTTCCTGGGGCAAACAGGAAGCAAGGTATCTAGAAAAGTGTCAATAAGCCCCCTTGCCGGAGCTCCACTGCTGCCTCAGGAAGGTGCTCCCAGCATGAGGCTCAAGGGATTCCTGACACTCTGCCTCCCTGTCCAGCTCTTCTCCTCCGTGGCCACCATGGTCCAGCACTACATGCAGCACCCCCTGCCCCTGGTGGACAGACACAGTGGCAGCTGGGGACTCACCTGCCTGCTCTTCCCCACCAAGCCGTGAGGCCACAGTGATGTACCCGGTCACCCCTGGCCCCAGAGCTTGCTCCCTGGCCCTCCTCAGGCTCCACCACTCCAGTCCCTCCCCTTCCTTCACCCCAGTCCTTCCAGGCCCCAATGACAGGCACTGGGCAAGGTTGCCCAAAAAGAGGAAGGGTCCTGGAGACTCCACCCCGTGCTCACCCGGAGCCTGGCACTGCCCCTCCCTGCTGCATCCCCAGGCCGGGAGCCCATTCCTAGCCTGTTGTTTACTGCAGCAAGGTCCTCCCTCGCTGCTCTGGATGAAGACATGGTGGTGGCCTAGGGAGGTCGGCCTCCTCAGAGAAGCCAAGCCTCAGGGGACAGCACGAGCACTGAGCACCACTTGGACAGCACAGAGAATCTTCTCACATTCTTTTGGGGGTTAGAACACTCTGGGAGGGACTGGGCTGCCCTGCACATGGTTTGCTTTCAATAAACGTTTGTTGAATCTGGTATTTCTTGAATCTGGTAAGTGAAGCAGAGGTGGCCTGCATGAGGCTCCACGGTTCTCAAGTGTCACGGGGCAGACTGGCAGGGAGTGATGGACCGCATCACAGGCCAGCCCCCTTGCTGTCTACCCCATTGGAGCTTTTGCCGTTAGATGGTCTGTGCCAAGGAGGAGGGAGGTGAGGCCGGGTGGCTGATTTTTGTTTTGTTTGTGGGGTTTGGGACGGGCAAAGGAGGGAAGCTCCGCTGTGACTCTGCCACCCTGTTAAATGGTGAGGACGGAGGCCATTAACTACTCGTCCAACACCTATGTACTGTACAGCGTTCCCCGGGGAGAGAGGAGCCTGATTTTGAGCACTTGGTGTAGTCTACAGTAGGGTAGGCAGCGGACCACAGGAAACAACTGGATCTGGAAGCCCCAATCCAGATCCAAAGCTAGGGAAGGCTGAACAGTGGCTATCGAGAAGACTAGAGAAGGACGGCGGGCTGGAGCTTGGGGTCGCTGGGGCCTGCAGAAGGGCGGAGGGAGTCCGGGCCGCGGGGACAAGGCCGAGGGGCGGGGGCATCCCCGGCCTTGGAGCGACGCCCGGAACACCCCGTGCCCAAAGCGCCATGTGACCGTGACTCTGCAGAAGCCGAGAGCGCCGCGAAACAAAGGGCGGGTCTGGGCCGCCTGGCACTAGGCTGGCACCGAGGGCCCGGACCCCCCACTGCACCCCGGGCTCTGGGAAGGCGGGGGAGCTTGGCGGGGGGAGACGGGGAGGGAGGACGGACGCCGAGGACACGGCGAAGTGCCAGCGCTGAGGCGGGGGCGGGTCCAGGCTGAGCCGTAGGGCGTTGACGGTCGTCTCCGTCACTGCTGGTTCTGGCCGATAACCCGCTCAAACCTTAATTTCCTCATCTGTGATAGAGGGGAAGATAATCGTCTCTACGTAATCGTCCTCGGGTTAGGAGGCTTAAGTGAGGCATTCAGCGTAAAAGGGGTGCCTGATGGGCGGAACAAACACGCTCTGCTCCGGGTCAATTAGCTGCCACAAAGTGGCCGCAGGGAAGTCGTTTCTGACCAGGTCGTCGGGAAGAGGCAGGGGATGGGGCTGCTGGCATGGGCTGGCGTGGGGCTGGCCTGGGGCTGTGGGGGGCGGGGTGATACTGCTGTGTGTGTTTGTGAGGCAGGAATTAGCAGCTGGGCGCCTCCAGTAGAAGCAGGAGGATGGGAGACCCCACACTCCAGGACACACTCCAGCCCGTTAGCCCAGCTCAGGCTCCCTCTAGCCCTGGGTGGGAGCGGCCTCTTTCCTCCCCAGCCTCACCCAGCCAGGGGCTCAAGGGCTGTGGTGGTTGGGGAGCTTGGAATCTCCCGCTGGGCCTCAGGGTGCAGTCAGACCCCCGCATCCCCAACCGGCTCTGCAGGTTCGACTTCCCTGAGGAGCTCTCCACTTGTGGCCACAGAGGTCCTAGGTCCTGTCTTTACTGAGCCCTGGATTTACCTAGCCCTGAAGCCATGAGGCCTGTGATGGCAGAGTAGAGGCCACAGCCCACAGCTCTTGAGTTAATGGCCCAACAGAGACTCTCTGCTTGTCCCAGCCTGGGGACTGACTTCAAGGAACTGCCTCCATTGCTTCCCTGCCTGGGGGAATAGAGAGGAGTCCTCGTCCAGGCTACGGGGACAGTTTGTAATTAGGGCCCCTTGAAAGCAAAAAGGGACATAGCCTGGTCTCTGCCTGCCTGGTGCCCCGTCAGCTTGCAGGTCTGCCGGTAGATGTCCCCTTTCCCAGGGAGCCTTCCTCACTGCCCCAGCCTGGGCTCAGGTACTTAGGGGCACCCAGTGGCAATTGCCCCTTCACTCTTGGGACCAACTAGCTACTACTGCCCACCATTGCATATTCAGGGTTTGGAATACAGTAGGTGGCAAATATTTGTTGAAAGATTCCCTAAATAGGTCAACTCTATCCTGGATTCCTCTAAAGCTGATAACATTCCTTTATCAGGGCCCCCTTTGTTAATAGAAAAGTCCAACCCAGTGCTGTCCAATAGAACTTTCTATGACGCTAGAAACATTCTCTGTCTGCATTGTCCAGTACAGTAGCCACCAGTCACAAGAGGTTATTGAGCACTTGAAATGCGACTAGTGTGACTGAGGAGCTGAATTGTTAATTAATAATTTAATTAATTTTTGATTAAATTTAAATAGCCACATATGGCTAGTGGCCATCATATTGTTTTGAGTCTCTTGCCTTCCCAAGTGTGAGGGCAGTGGTGAAAACTGGAGAAGTCTGCAGGGGCTAGGTCTGGAGGAGCTTGGGAGACCTCCAGGAGTGTGGCCACGGGGGGCCACTGAGGTTCTGAGCAGGGTGGGGCAAGGGGTATTTGAGGAGCGTCACTCTAGATATGCAGTACTCAGTGGGCCAGAGGGGCTGCACAGAGGCAGGAGAATACTTAGGAGCTGCAGGTGGTCCCATAATTCAGGCAAGAGATGCCACCCCTTGATTCACCATGCCAGTGTCCCTCCAAGCACTTTATCCCCATTTTCTCCCACCCAGCAGGCCAGACTCTAGAAAATTCTAGGCAAGGTCACCAACCGAAGGATCAAGTCTTTGAGAAGTGCCATTTCTTTCACTTTGAGAAGTGAAGGAGCCCATGGATTACATAGTGGTATGCCATCTCACTGGCGGGGGTCCTGTAGGACAAGGAAGCTGAGGAAGTGCAGGTAGGAAGGGCATGACAGCCTCGCACACACCTGCTGGGGCTCAGAGTGTGGTCTAAGCAACTAGCTGACAAGCTTTAAGCTTTGGTTTCTGAAGAGGCAGCCTGACCTTGGGCAAAAACAAGGACAGAAGGACCCGAGTTTCATTCTGGCTTAGTCACTTCCTGTGTAACCTTAGCCTGTCTCTTGACTTTTAAAACAGAGCTAATAATACCTGTGTTTCGGGATTGTTGTGAGAGTGGGAACTGAAGTAAATAACACATATATAACATATACTTAGCCTAACACACAGCCTGACATATAGTAGGAGCCAAACGATTGGTACCTAATAATAATCATAACTGGGAGTAGGCAAAGCTTGGTTCTGGTCACCTTTGTATTCCATTTTGGGGGCTCTTCCCTGACTCAACTCCACCCCTCCCCACATATTTCTAAAATCTTTAGGCATTGTAGGTACTGTAATAATTACTGTTGTGTCTGCACACCTGGTTTTCCCTTCCCCTTCTCCCCGCTTCCCCCACAATAGGACCTGTGCCTGGCCAGGACCAATCAGCATCTGTCAAAATCTTCTCTGGATACTTACCTGGCAGGGGAGGTACCATGGTCACAAAGGTGGTGTTCCCAGGGCAAGACTTATACATCACCCTCTGGATGTGCTGACCCCTGGGTTCCCTCCCTGTCTGCCCTCCCCCCACCCCAAATCTTCTCTGAGATGGATATATTGATGTTGAGAGAGAGAAGTCCTCTTTCCAAATCTGAGTTTGGGCTGCAAATGGCCACCTTCCCTGCCACGTGAATAGAGCCTGTCTGCGGAAGTCAGGCAAAAACAAGGAGAAAGTATCTTGAAGGTGTGGACTCTGCCCCAAGGTACCAGTTTTTGCCTAGTGCCCCTCCCAGCTGGGTGAGCTAGAAATTTCCTTTTTGACTTAAGCTGGTGGGAGTGTGGCTTCTGATCTTTGTGAGGAAGACTCCAGCCTGGTGCAGTGGTGTGCACCTGTAGTCCCAGCTACTCAAGAGGCTAAGGCAGGCAGATTGCTTGAGCCCAGGAGTTCTGGACTATAGTATGCTATGCTGATCGGGTGTCTGCACTAAGTTCAGCATCAATATGGTGATGTCCCAGGAGTGAGGGAATACTAGGTTGCCTGAAGAAGTGTGAACTGGCCTAGGTCTGAAACAGCAGGTCAAAACACCTGAGCTGATCGGTAGTGGGATTGCACCTGTGAATACCACTTCACTCCAGCCTGGGCAACATAGCAAGATCCCATCTCCTTAAAAAAAACCGCAAACCCGTACTGTTCAAGGGAAAAAAAGGAAGGAAAAAGAAAAAAAGAAGATGATGACTCTTGCCTGGTACAGGCACTTGTGTCCTTAAAGTTCAGGGAGATCAGGGGATTTGTCTGAAACACAGAGCAGTTAGCGGTAGAAGCATAAACCATACCATGCGCTCCAGTTGTTCATGCACAAATATTTAAGCGAGCACTTACTATGTGCCAGCCACCAGACGAGCATCTCATTCCTCCTCCACACCTGCTGAAAGACTCCCCCTCACCAGCTTCACTCCTAGTCTCTAAGGACCTTTGAGTCAGGGGACATGAAAAACGGCCCTTCTCCACTAGGACATGGCCCAGCATACTCACTGTCTTCGCAGAATTAATACTCCCAGAACCTGCCCATGCCAAGGATGCAAGAGGAGCCAGCGACTACTGAGCTGCCTGCCCCTCTACCAACCACAGCTCTGCCTGCATGGAGTAAGTCCTAGCCCTGGCCAGGGACCACTGAGCTTCTCTCTGCATGCCACACTGAGCAAACGTGCTCCTACTGCCCTTATGGCT